GGTGGTGGTTTTATAGGGGGACTGTAAGTTGGTGTCGGAGGCTTGTGCACCGGCGGTGGCTTGACCGGAGGACTGTAAATTGGTGTTGGAGGCTTGTGCACTGGTGGTGGCTTGATCGGAGGACTGTAAATTGGTGTCGGAGGCTTATGCACTGGTGGTGGTTTTATAGGGGGACTGTAAGTTGGTGTCGGAGGCTTGTGCACCGGCGGTGGCTTGACCGGAGGACTGTAAATTGGTGTTGGAGGCTTGTGCACCGGTGGTGGCTTGATCGGAGGACTATAAATTGGTGTCGGAGGCTTATGCACTGGTGGTGGTTTTATAGGGGGACTGTAAGTTGGTGTCGGAGGCTTGTGTACTGGTGGTGGTTTAACAGGAGGACTATAAATTGGTGTTGGAGGCTTTTGTATTGGTGGTGGATATATGGGAGGACTGTAAGTTGGTGTCGGAGGCTTTTGTATTGGTGGTGGATATATGGGTGGACTGTAAATTGGTGTTGGTGGTGTTGGGTAGCTGGGTGGTGCGCCATAAATTGGTGGCGGATGTGTGTGACCACTATCAGTCTCATACCTATTCAAGTTTTGTTTCACCGTTGCATCTGCAGCAACTGAAGCACCACTAAGAGAAAGAATGAGTACTAAGAATCTCAAGAAATCTTTTAGTGGGACTCTCATCTTGTAAGTGACTTACTGAGAACTAAAGATACACACTCGTTTTTGAGGTTATATAATACTCGAAGTTGTGAGATTAGCTGAAACTTGTTGTGAAAGTTTGTTTCTACAGAATTTACGGTAGGTTCAAAGACTCTTTACTCTTAGGCCAGCTTTTTGGCTTGGGCAGTTATGGTTCGTGTCAAGAGATCCTTGAATTGATATGTCCATCTTCTGCTCATCTTTCAAACTCGTGTAACATTTCTATCCTAATGCCGTACATGTGTCGTGAGATTTGGCTTAAAAACGTTTCTGATTATGTAATTATTTGTCTTGTTGTATTGATTTGATACCTTAATGGCAGCTTTTAGTTTCTGTTTTGTAGTATGGAGAAGACTGGAAGATGCTAGATCCTTGGTTGCTTGTACTTCACTCTTAGGTTTGAATATGAAAACGCCTTCTTTTTCAATTTGATGACTTTTTTTAACTTAAAATTATTTTATTTATCGCACACTGTTTTATTTCTTCAAGCCCCTACAATGAAATACACAAGTAGTTTAAATTAAGAATGAACTTCAATATTAAGCAGAAATAAAACAAGACTAGTTTTATTCTTGACCTTGCTCATGGATATAATATATATAAAAAATCTTATAGCACTTGGTGGAATTATCACTATGAACCTCTTCCTAATGTCAAGAACTCGATATCATTGAAGAAGAAGCCAAAAAAATTATAACAGTTGTTGTTAGATTACTCTTATTTGTTCTATTATTCATCATTTCTTAAGTTTTTTTTTTTTCTGCCGAATGAGGAATTCAAGGAACCAAAAACAAAACTAAAATTCCAGATTTGTTGCAGGGAACCTGTAACAGTTCAAATCATTTGTTCTATATACAATGAAATTGTTTACACGTTCAAATTTTATTTGAGTTTCATCGACCATTTTATTCATGAGCTCGCTTTTCCTACCACACCCATCTACTGTCGTCATCTGCATGTTGCAGAGTCATTCCAAGTGTCATTTAATATTTGTATAGAGATTATCAAACTTATTTGGAAGTGACTGTTACGTACGTTTCATCTCAAATATGGCTATATATAATATATATTGTGGTTATGGATTGAATTCGAAGATTTGACATTTAGAACCATATATATATCTTTATTTTGATGTAAAGGATTTGCCTTCTTTATGATTTCATCTTACTCCAAATTTTAGAGCAAGATCCCTCTAGTTGCCTCCAAAGCAGTTTAATACTAAAATTTTAAAAATTAAAATGACATTCGATTCATTTTTTAAAATGTTATATGCATATGATAAACCTCATAGCCTCATAGGATCTAAATCTTAAAAATTATAGGATGAACTTTATTCTGAACTCCACCAGATAATAAATTAGCAATATGTGGTCCAAGTTTACAAAACTTTATCTTATAATAATCGAAAAGTTTAAATCTTATTGTGGAATTTTAACGACCAAAATGGTATTTCACTGTCTAAAATCCCCTATATATTAATTGAGAAACATTTTTTAAAAATAACCTTACTTTCACATGTGATTAACGAAAATGACATGCTGACGTGTCACGTTTACAGAGCTTCTCAACCCATTTAATTAATTGTCCATCCTTTACTAAAATATTTACTTCAATTTGCCATTAGTATTACAAACACTTATTTTACTCATTAATTAATCCAAAATTTAATTTAAAAAATGCTCTTAACGTAGAAAGAAACTTAACATGTTCTTATTTCAATCAATTAATTAAAATAAATTACATTTAACATATGCAATTAAGAGTTACTAATCTTCACAAGATGAAACACCTAACATTTTGTGTATCAATTAACTTTATAACTATACATGTTTTTATTATATATATGTTACAATTATCTCTTATCTTATAGAATCCATTATGACTCTCAGTTCATATATAATCAAAGGCATTCCGTTTAACATAAAATAATTGTCAATGCATATTCCACTATATCATACGAAATTAATGTTTTAATCTTATTTAATGTTACAAATTTTTCCAATATTAACTTTTTAATAATCTTTATCTTTATATGAATCAAAATTTTGTGTAAAAATATACATGTTATACCACAATCTACTACTCTTTCCGCCCACCCAAAATTTGAAATCTATATCATATACATGAAATTAAATATGAATTATCATTAAGATCCTTTAAACCAATTGTAGATGTAAAATCTTAATTAAGTTTTGTAGTTTTTAATATTCCTCCATTTATGGAAATCTAAACAAAGTTACTAACCGAAAAGAATTTAATGGAACAATAAAAAATTTCTATAGGCGATAATCCAAGAAGTATAATCTCGACATATGTGCACATTTATTAGAATTTTTATGAGTATATCCAGTAAGAATATCCTCATTAATTTAACAACCAAAATATATTTAAAAAGATGAATATTGAATATCTATTTTAAATTTGTAATCGATTTAAAAAGATAAAATCCACTATACTATATTTAAAATATGGAATCTAACAATATTTGATAATTGATCGGTAATTTAAATTCTTCCACCGATTATGGTATTTGCTAATTATAACTAAGTTAATAACCGAATTTGTAATTACCTCAAAACGTGTATATGGACTTATATAATTTTACCTCACAAAAACATATTGAGATATATAAATTGACTTATCCAAAAAATCCTAACAAAAGATACATAACCATTAAAAAAATTTAATTTAGAAATATACATGTAAAAGAATAAATTTTGAATACTTAATATGAAATATCGATTGTAATGAAGCATTTTATGATTGAGGTCACGAAACATAAAATATATAAAATTAATTATTAAAAACATAAAAGACATTTGCCATAAATAATAATATTTCATCAATACTTTTTGTCCACCGCATAAAATGTTTTTCCCACGCTTAAGTATTTTACGGGTGAAAAGACATATTCTTAAACAAAATATTTATAAATTTAAATAGAACAATTTATTTTTTAACTTTATGTTCTGTTTTATACAAACGGATCTTGGATTTCAAATAATAATTTTACCTAAAATAATTTTACTTGATTCGTTTCATCCCGCACATAGTGCGGGTTTTTATCTAGTAGAACTCTATTTCATAATCTTCTTCATGCTTTACGTAGATATATGAACCCTAATTCCTTGTATTTTTGCAACTTACCAGTACAATCAAATATGCAGTTACATACTCCCAAATTTATCGATAATCAATATCCGTCTATATTCTCAAATACTAATCAATTGATGATTAAACAAGTTTTTGGTTAACCGAGAGCCAAAAAACATAATTCGTCAATAATTTTTTGTCCAATTCTGATTATTCTACTGATTGAGTCGTCAATAAGTTATCAGTAGTTTACCGACCAATGACATGCACAAATAGGGATGTCAAATGGGCTTCGTGACCATGGGCTAGACCAGTCCAAATTATAATGGTTCGGATTTGGTCACGTCCAAATTCGAAGCGGTCAATATTGGCTAGAAGCCCATTTAGTCCACAAACAAATAGGCCGAACCCATCTGGACATGGACAGTCCAATAAACCTTAAAAATTAGGGTTACTAATTTGGAGAATATTTTTTTTTCTTTATTTCTTTAAAAATTAGGATTCACTGACATTTTCACTCCAAAAAATATTTTTACAGTTTTGGCGGAAAAATGCAATTTTTCGATTTTGACCATCACTCGAGAGTGAAGATCAACTAGGCGATGTAAAGCTTTGATGCAGTTGCACGATTGCACCGATGTAGTATTTAAAGATCGAACTCAAAAACTAATAAAACACATTAAACTATGATAAGATCGATTAAGCTAGAGAATCAAGAGATTTTGGGTTATTTTTGGTTAACGTCTATAATCTAAGTAATCTAAATGCAAATAAGACAAGGCAATATAATGAAGCATGATCAATTAGCTAGACATCAATTAGGATTGTCATCAATGATTCTAAATGGTCTATATGGTCACTAAAGCACCCTCATGACAATGGGACTCCTAAAAATTAGACTAGTTCTCCTTTCGGGATGCGATTAGTCCCTAAATACACTAAATTCAAGCTCAATTTTGGTATTTCATCCCAATGAATTAAGAAACAATGTCTTATTTTAATAAAGCCACTTAACATCCTAGATACAACATTCATCACACAATTTCAATTGGCTAGGAGTGAATTTTCACCAAAATTATGATTCAAGCATTTTATCGAAGACCTTGTGGACATGGAAATGCCTTGGCTCTAGATTTGAATGATTTGTTCTTTATCTAGTATTAAGTTTTTCTCTAAGTGATAAGATTATCTAGATTTAGTCTTAACAATGAATCAAGCATTAACATCCTATTCTAACATAATCATGTATGAATGAGACTACTCACTCACTCATGGTTGTGGAACAACACACCACTAAAGAATTGCATAAAAGTAAATGCAAGATAAATGCAAGAAAAGAAAAGAGAAACAAAAAAAAATCTAAGAGGTTTGCATAAACATAAAAGATCTTAGCTCATAAGAGTTTAAAAGTATTGCTACAAGAAAAAATGATAAGATTAGATTAAAAAGATTCTGAGTTTTATGTCTCATAAATTAGTATCTAGAGGAAAAACAAGCGAACTCGGGTTGACCTTGTCAAGTTAATTAAATCTGTAATTAAGAAACATATGTGTGATCGATCACCCAATCGATTCGGGAAATGGATGGTCAATTTGTCTCTGTGAATCCCATGAATTTTGCACGCTTATTCCGGTTTTCTACATCAAACATCCAAGGTTTTCATGGGATTTGCCCGTCCGATTGCTTTTGGTTTTGGTCTCCTCCTTGTTCGAATTTCTTATCTTCTTCCTTGCCTCTATCATTAGTGAATGCTCCAAATAGCTCCACATATTTAATAAAACACAAAGAAATGCAATGCTAGGGCTCTAAATGCAAATAAGAACTAAAAATGTGAATTAAATGCAAGACAAGAAAAAACACAAAAAAAATGGTAAAAACTAAAGGGTTAAAACTATTAAAACCCGAACAAATC